TTTATAAATTTCAATTACTCCAAATCGTAGTAACTGCCCGCTTATCATGCCTTTGTGGACAAGCAGTGATCTGCGGACCATAGGTTGGAAACCACTTCTGTAATTGTTCAATCCGACGTGCTGGTTGTGTGCTCATTTCTCGCAGGGCTGGAAGAGCTGGATGTTTTGATTCGGGAGTACATGGATAATCGCTGGGGGCGAGAGCTGCCGGGGTTCGTGAGCTACCACGCCTTTGAGAACCTCGCTCGAGTTCATCTGCAACGCTTGGAGCAACCGGCCCTCGACATGCTCGCTGTCACCTGTGGTACGTGCCGCAGCGTCGATAGTCACAATGTCGAGAGAGAGTGTGATGTGTTATTATTATATTTTGTCTTTCCCCTTGTTTATTTACTGTGAAATGTCTCCGCTATACTTTTTTTTCCGCCAAGTTGTCACAGTAAGGGGTAACAATTGCTCGTGTTTTCGGAATTAAGTCATTTGCGTGTGAATAAAATAAAAATGGGCACAGTTTTTAAGTTGACACCGACGCAAAGTGGGGAGCAGTGGTGTAGCGGTTCGCGCGGTGTGACCCGAGTTCGATTCTCGATCACAGGCAACACCGGTGACGATTATCTGAACCGGTCCTGGGCCTACTCTAGGTCGACTCAGCCTCAAATGAGTACCTGGTGTGGTGTGCAAACATCGCCACTGGGGAGACAAAGGCGGTCGGTCGTGCTGCTGGCCACCCACCCCCTCGTGTGCCATTCCGGCCTTCATAGGTGCTCGCTAACAGCACTTGCCCAAACAGTCTGTTAAGGCTATAGGGGGATATGTCTTGGTGGGTTTGCGTGAGCAGTGCTTAACGAGTGTGCGCATGTGTGTGGGTTTGCGTGAGTGGTGCAGGGAGCGTGCAGGATGTGTGCATGCGACTCGCCGATGACGTGTTCCAATTCCTTCCCGAGTTTAACCGTCTCGTCAAGGTGACCCTTTATTTAACTACTTTCTTACGATGTCCTTCGAGCTCAACAGCAAAATCTTTCAATCCTGTGTTTGATTCAATTCCATTGCATGTGTTTAACAATGAAAATTATCAGTTCCACACTTGGCCCGAGGTTCCCCCATCCCCCACCACCCCTCCCCTCCATCTCCCACTGCCCTCCCCGATATCCCCCACTACCTCTCCCAAAAACCCCCCAAACATCTCCATATCATCCCTCATTGCCCCATAAACCATGTATTCAGAAAAAAACCCTCAACATTTGTCAATAACACTGTGTCCTTTAAAGGAAAAATATACAATCGATGACATTTCAAGCAATGGCCCTTCTTCACAGCACATACATGAAAATATTTTACGTGTCGTAATCACCGTCAACGCTGGACGATTTCCGTCCACTCGGTATCACCGTTGACCCAATTAAACCCAGGTCAGCTTGACGAATATTCTCGTCGCTAATTTCACTGATTGAACGAACGCCGACTTGTGTGTTTTTGCACGCTCACCCTTGCCTGGAGGCAGGCAAAGGTGGGAGCACAGGTGCAAGGCCAGGAGCAGAGAGCAAGTGTCCTGATTGTCACCCTCTTCCGCATGGAGAGCATGGTCTACACGCAGGTGCCCGCCACGCGCACCGCGCGCCACTCGGCACACGCGCGGCGCAACTCGTAACACCAACTCTGCCAAATACGTACAGTGAGGGAAAAAAGTATTTGATCCCCTGCTGATTTTGTACGTTTGCCCACTGACAAAGAAATGATCAGTCTATAATTTTAATGGTAGGTTTTTTTGAACAGTGAGAGACAGAATAACAACAACAAAATCCAGAAAAACGCATGTCAAAAATGTTATAAATTGATTTGCATTTTAATGAGGGAAATAAGTATTTGTTCTAATAAACCTACCATTAAAATTATAGACTGATCATTTCTTTGTCAGTGGGCAAACGTACAAAATCAGCAGGGGATCAAATACTTTTTCCCCTCACTGTATGTGTAGGAGCATGGTTGGGCACTGTGTACATTTCCCATTCATCCTTACCTGTAGTAGCAGACATGTGTCAAAAGGGGGTGGTATACTGAATGGGTAAGATGAGTCGGCCCGTTGGGCAAATAGGGCTCCTCAGACCCCAAGAGAGGGGCTGGGGGGTATTCCAGAGCCCCCTAGAGAGTTCCAAAAGGAACGCGTGGCTAGGGGCAGAGAGACCCTCTAACGGGTATAAAAGCCGGACCTCTGGATGGGTCCGGCAGTCATCGTCAAGCTGAAGACCTGCTTAGGCTAGGACCCTGGGAACCCTTGGACCCAACGTCCTTCTAAGGGCCGGGACTGAGTGCACCAGTGGTCGGACTCTGGGAACCCCCGGGAACCCGACGTCCGACCAAAGGGCAGGGACTGAGTGGGCCAGTGGTCGGGACCCGAGGACCTTGGCTGGGTTGTGTCAGCTAGCCTCCCCTAGGACCCCTTAGCTGGAGGGCTGGGAGTACGTAGCCCCAGTTGATAGGGCACACTAGCCCGGAGGTTATACCTCCCCAGGTATCAGGTGGAGGGGCCGCTTCCCCTCTGTTACTGTTGTTATTGGAATAAACGTGTTGCCTCTACAAGCTGTCTCTACTCTGCTTGAACGCACTACATCTGTAAGAGCCATCGTGTAGGGACACATTGGTGCTATGCGAGGGCACAGAGACACCCCCCCGAGATGAGTAGGAAAAGAAAAGGTGGCGGGAACATCCATGAGAAATAGCTTCATAGCTCATCGGATTCTTCCAGGATAAATAAAGATTCCGATTCTGAACGAAGCCGGGAAGAAAAAGGCAGGGGATTATCTTGAGGACCGGAGAAGAGATTTGGGATGATGCCCTGACTGGTGAGCATTTTAAATTTCGTTGTACTGGTGACAATGACAATGAACGATCTATCTATCTATCGAAAGAGAGAGGCCAAGGAACAGTTTTTGTAGAGAGCGCGGAAATGAGAGGAGCTTGCTGGAAGGTTCCAGAAAGATCGTGGGGGGTGGATAAGGAGGGGGGGGAGATATAAACAGGGGACTATGTGACGTGTTTCCGGGGCTCCCGAAGGGAAAAGCTTCTTGTGAGGTGTGAATGTGTTGCAGTGTGTGGGGCTTAAATAAATCCCTTTCCCGAATATCGCCTCGTGTGGACTCGCTTTCACAGACACAGTGCATGGCCCAAAGCGGGAATTGGTACCAACGAAAGTAGCAAATCTTTATTCGTACTCGATTTACGTATACGGCCAATAAGAGTGGTTTACACAAGAACACACTCATTTCAGCCGAGGTCTATCAAAACTGTGGCATACTGTAATAAAGATCAACACACCACCATATGATCTTTATGGCCTTACCCCGGGGTACCAAATAATACAAAATGGCCGAGGCAATTAAATATTTTGTTTCTAGGACACTTTTTTCCAGGGGTGTACTTCACTCCGACTGGGGTACCAATCTCTATGGCAGTTATATAAAAAATATATATTCCGCTACCTATAGTATATACATTACAGCAGTGTTGGTTACTTATTGGACTGTGTGTTGCTACGACTGTCTTTGCATGTGTAGGATATGCTCTATCAGAATAACCTAAGAGAAGAGCACAAGCATGATCTTGAAGTCAATGGAGATACTCAAATTTCCTCCAATTCCCACAAGTATCCCAACACGTATAAGGGCAAAAGTCTACTTGATGTGGGCGGCCTGGACGAGGATCTGCATGTGATGAACAAACATCTGCGCTCATATTTCAAGGTACGTTAAACACATGCAGACAGGTTCGTGCCCATACACATGCACATCCCCAGAAAGAAAAGATCCCCCCTATAATCTGTAATAGACTGTTGGGGCAAGTGCTGTTAGCGAGCACCTAAATAAGGCCACAGCAGCATACGAGGGGGTGGGTGGCCAGCAACCACGCCCGGCCGCATTTGTTTCCCCAGTGGCAATGTTTACACACCGCACCAGGTACTCATTTGAGGCTGAGTCGACCTAGGGGAGGCCCAGCACTAGTTCATATAATCGTCACTGGTGTTGGCCGTGAGCAGGAATTGGACTCAGGCCACCAAGTTCGTAGCGCAGTGCGCCATCCGCTACACACACATACACACATACACATGTATATAAAATATACACACGTGCACAAAGGCTTGTCAGGACCCCCCTGAAAAAGAGTCTTGGGACTACTCAATGAGGCTCTCCTGGGTAAACAGGTGTAGTAGTGATCATTGTGTTTAGTTTGTTGTCCTTCCCCAAACCTCCGAGTAGCACAATTGGCAACGCATGGTGCAATAGAAGTCCAACATGCATACGTCCACAATACTAAAACAATCAAGTGGAAAAGAACTCTGCTTCGGCCCACGAAAAACTCGATCCGATCGGGCGTGCGATCCCCCCGCGTGCCGCAGATCGCGCTGACGCGGCTCATGGACATGGTGCCCATGGCGGTGCGCTTCAACATGCTGGACGAGCTGGTGGTGGCGCTGGGCGTGGAGCTCACGGCGCTCGCGCAGGAGGGCAACCTCGCCGAGCTGCTGTGCGAGGATGAGGACACAATGGAGAAGCGGCGCATGGTGATGGAGCGCGTGGAGCGCTTGCGCAAGGCGTGCTCCACCATCGAGAACGCGCTGTGAGGCGCGCGGTGGCTCGCACGCTCACCGGTGGACAGTCGACTTCCCCCATCGCTGTTCCTTCTGTTGCTGCGCTGGCCAAATGATCAAACGCATTGGAACATCGACAGGCCGATGCGCACATCCCCTTCATAGATGGAAAATTAAAGACATGCCTCAGTCGTGTGATAGTGGTCATAGAGTAAGCCACTGTTGCCTGTGCTCCTTCCATATGCAAAAATAGAATAGACTCAATTATTACAGAGTTTCATAATCCTGATTATTAAGTTTGAATAGCGTCAGATTCCTGATTATTATAGACATGTATGCAGTAAAAGTATTGACCAATAGTTCATTGGAACGTGTTTACTCGTAAGCGTTTTAATGTTTAAATCAAGGTTTTTATTTCAATAAACAGCATATACACGGATACATCTTCTCGCGTGTTACACCACTGACATGGAAAGGATTTTCATTTCATAAAATGCTACAGTATACAATTCCCAACATTTTAGCATAAACATGATTGTTTATCCTAATATGTAAATTCCATAAATGCAACCTACATAGATTTCTCAGAAAGATGTAGATTTATATGAACACACTTAATTTGCATATTTGTCAAAGCACGTTATATTAGTGTGTAAAAGAGTGTACACTGTTGAGAGTGGAGCTGTGCATAACATCGTTTGACCCTCATCACAGTATTCGAAAACGTGGAAGTAAAAAGTGACTGGATTTATTTTCAAGTCAAATGTTGACTCCCAGCTCAAACCGAGCATTTGACTCGGTGCTCATCTCGTGTTGACAGCCGGTAGTGGGAATTCCGCATTCCCGGTGGCGCACAAGGCTATCCATGTAAGACAACCACGAGCTGATCTCCCCACAAAGTGGTACTCATTTTAATCAACCCCAGAGGGGTTGATGTGTTGATTCAACCTCCTCAGCCAAGATTTGAACCTACAACCTTCCAATAAGAGCTGCTCGCGCTAGGCCACCCGACCAGATGATAGACACAGAATGGTCTGTTTGGTTAAATAGAATGAGTCAAGAGATGAATCCTTCGGGCTGACTGAACTGCTGCACTCAGTCAAACAGCTGTCCCCCCACATCCTGTACCTGCACGTATCTCGCCTCGAATTAATTTGCTGCTTTGGCAAAAACGTTGCTCCACAATTATTTTAGTGACTTTGTCAAGTGACACTTGCTTCTGTTATTTTAACGTTTTGTCCTGACAAAACCAAACACGTTTGGTGTTGACAGTGTGTTTTCTTTAGTCCTGATTATGATTATTGTTGCTACCTAACAAATGCAATGGAAAGCTGTATATCCAGCAATCAAAATCGGTCAATTACATTCAGATTATATTTAGATATTTAAAAGGCCCAGGCTGTCTTAATGCGCTGCCCTTGTACAATGCGGGTAATCACACAATTTCTGTTTTGGAGGTTGACGCAGCCCATCATCTCTCCGGGGTCGATCAAATTACTAACAGTTTGTGGAGAATTTAGCAGCGGTTGTCTGATGGAGAGAATCGCTGGCAGAAAGGCGTCCGCAAGCGTGAACTAAACAGGGCATTTGGTCCACCCTTCCACATCGACCAGGCGTGTTGGAAGAGGTCGACGTACCCCCACTTCACCCCACCCCACGTGACCTGCCGATTGACGTAACTCAGGGGTGGGGAACGTCCGGCCCGCGGGTCGTATAAGGCCCCCGAAATCATTTGGTCGGGCCCTGCCAAGGCAACCGCAGGCGGGACTCGAAATTCAATAAATCTAGGAGAAAACCTGGAAAAGCAGTTGCCAGTAGCAACATCATCAATATCAGCTAACATCACACGCCTAACCAAAGAGAAGCAGTTCCAGCCATAACATTAGGGGTGAGTTAATTAAATGTTTGACCAAATATAACAGGCTCATTTTTAAGTTGATAATGTTGTATTGCCCGCGAATGATTATTAATATCCAAATGGCCCTTGGGAGAAAAAAGGTTCCCCACCCCTGAGTCGTAACTGGCGCGTTCCCGTTGATCCTGCTGGGTGGACAGAGGCACCAGCGGGGCGAGATGAGGATATTTTTGCGTTGTTTCGACTGCCGCGTCAGGAAATGGAATCGAACCGGCAATCTTCGTGCGCTGAGCATTACCCCACTTTGGCAGCTTCTGGGGAAGCGTGATGTTTGTTGGTGGATACCTTGCATGTACACGCGTGGTCACAAACACGCATATATATATATAACCATCTAGAGGCAGCCAAGAATAATCACGTAAAACTAACCTGGGGATGATCTCAACTCCCCAGTATCATGGGCAAATCGTACAAGGTGAATGTATCTGTGGTTACCGTTTACGTGCACGTGTCCTGTTCCCAGTTTTTCAGAATATTCATGAGAATGGCCCACGGAATAGGATATCACAGAGTTACCTCTGAGATCCCTTCGAATGATCTACGGCCCAGACATTAGGAGGCAGTACTTTCCCATATGCTCTACATGTGAGAGCAACATTCATCGCATGACAGTCGAACCTATGTTTTCGATTCTCAGAGCTGGAACTTAAGGCAAACGCAGCATAAAACCACAGTTAACGTGATGGTCATTTCAAACTGGACTTGAACCAGGTTTCATCAAAGGTGGCTGCCCGAGTTAGAACCCAGGACCTCGGCACTCTGACCTCTGAGCCGCCGGAATGGACATAGGGGAGGCATTAACACGGGCCTATCAATTGCTTTCTGCTGTGTGCATTAATATCAAAAATTCAAAGGGCCTCGCAGAAATTGGCATCACTGGGTTCTGCTCCGAGATAGAAACATTGCTCTTCGGATCAATCGTCTGAGCAGTCGGTAGTCATAACTCTCAGCACTACGGGTAACACGTGACTGAGGATTTTAATGCGAGTGCATGAATAATGATGCGACAGTGGCCGTGTGTCCGCGTGACCGCAGAGTGCACTCGCCAAGTCCATGTTTTTCATATCAAACGAGTGTAAAGAGGGTGTTTGAGGCAGGGTCTATCTGTGTTCCTGTGTGGATCAGGAACAAAGATAACTAAGCTGCTGTGATAATAAGTTGTTGGGAACGGTGTCTGTGATGGATGCTATGCATTTTGCGGGGAAAAAACAGGATAAGCAACGCAGAAGTCGTGAAGAGAACGCGGCAGGTGAGTGCTGTAGACAGGATCAGGCGAAAACGGTTCTGCTGGATAGGACGTGTGTCCAGGATGGTGGAGGGCCAATTAGCAACACAGACATTGGAATGGTCTTCAAGAGTCCAGCAAACAAGGTGAAGAGAAGACCTGAGGCCACAGGGTGGGAGACTGTCAGGGCAGATATTTGGAGGTCGCGTGTCTACTGTGTAGAGAGCGAAAGCAAGGTTGTGGTGGCATCGACGACTTTGACCATGATCACCCCTTGATAGTTTGCATACTACTGTCTGGTTGAGGACACCATAATGTGGCGACCAATTGTCACGAATGGAGGTTAGAGGGACCATATTCGGGGCTCTACGCAAATGGATGAATAACGATGAAAAGAAACAGACGAGATGCACTCACACACGCACACGGAGACATATGTTGAACGTCGTGTGGGGCCCTAAATTTGTGTGTGGGGGGGAGGGGGGGGAGGGGGGGTGTTGCTGTGCAGCTGCACGCGCTGAGCACGAGCGGCACCGGACCTCGTGTTTGGATCGGAGACACCTCTCGTGTTGCTCTCACCGCGCTGCCCAGCGCGGTTCTAGTGGAAGGAGAGCTTCAGGTAGATGACCCAGTAGAAGATGTTGAAAACCATGAAGACGGTTGGGAAGATGACGCGAGAAATATAGTCGATCCGACGAGCATGCAGCAAAGACTGGTAGCGCCATTCTTCATCGCTCACCTACACAGGGACATGAACACACCACGCCTCACACACCTTGCCGTACATTTCTATTTTGACTCGTGAAATAATTTTCCATAATTTGTACCACGTGCACTCTCCTGGAATTATTCCCATCAAGACGAATATTCGTGTGAAAAACCCCCGGCTTGCCCTGCAACCGACCATCCTTCTCTGGCCTGTGGCGTTGAGGCCGCCTGAGAGAGGACACGTTCTCCTGCCGATGCCGCTTCCACTCTCTCGGAAGCTGAAACGTATTTGGAACCTTTTGCAAAACAAACCCGCACCTCTCCCTTGGTGCAATGGTCGCCGTCGTGATGGCTGGGGCTGATTCCGTGTCGTCTGGTGGCCATGTTCACAGCGGCAAACTCCAGCAGGGCAGAAAATACGAACACCTGGCATGCGCCCATCCACACGTCGATGGCTTTGATGTAGGACACCTGGGAGGATAAGTCACAATTCGTGTCGTTAAACCAACACAATTCTCACGATTGCCTTCTTTGTATTTGACGGATACCTGTCAAATAATCACGCCTCTTGATGAGTTTAACTCGTAGGCGTTGCGCCTCTTAATGTTTCTGTAACTTACGAAGAACGGTTGTTTTAATGTATTTGTCCGAGCTAAATTTTGTTTCAGGAAATGTCTTTCATTTATTATTGATTCGTGTTTGTGTACTGCTTCGATCCCCTCTGTTATGTGGTTGTTTTCCCACTGTTTTCTAGTTGCCGTATTATTGTATTTATATTATTCCTCTTGTAATTTTGGTGACCCAAGTCACTCTGGCAAATTAGACTTTCCTGGTCACTTGAGTTATCACCTGGCTAAACAAAATAAACGTAGATGTAAGTGTAGATGTGGGTGTGGATGGAGTGGCTCTGTGCTTTGTTGGAATGGACATTTTTTTACGCAGTTGCTGACCACATGGCCCAAAGGCCCCAACGTGTGAAGCGGTCAGCAAAAACAACAGCACCATCGGAGTTGTGATAAAGAGCTGATAACGCGTTTCTTTTTTATTGAGCAAGGTGAGCCGTGCTTGGGAAAGAGAGAATGGAAGGACATTCAAAGTGAGCAGTGCGAGGGAAGAAGCAGAAAGAGAAGCGTTTTGACAACTGACGCCGAGTTGTTTCACTCGCGTATATGTGAGGCAGATCGTGAAAATATCCTGCAAATGGGTCAAAATGGATCATACCAGTTGCATTAAGTTTATTGTTATAAAAATTGTGAAAAGTCACGTGGCTTGAGCTATTTTTACTGAAAATGTAGATGTTTAATAAAGTAATTGTCGTTCATCTCAGATGTTGTAGGTCACGTGGCTACCGGGCAGCAGCTGCAAGGGGAAGACAGTGCTGGCGCCGCGGTACCATCAGAAGCTTGTCCATGGTGACATCTTGATCGCAATATCATAAAAAAGTAAGAGCTAATCTTCATTTTACTGGGGCACTGTCCTGACAATGAAGCTCGAGGGCCTCAGTGACCCGGACAACCCCGCTAGAGAATGACACCCTTGGCAGGCACATCTTACATCTTCACCCTTTCCCGTTCCGAGACGTCTGCAAGTTGCAGGGTAGGTCCCGTTCGCCGCCGAATCTCTGAACAAGCAAGCCGTTAGCGTTAACTTATTTAAAAATAAATCATAGCGCCGCTGTTTTTAAATACATTGTACTCACTGCAGACAAGTGTAGTGACACGACCGCACTCTATCATAACTGTCTACAAACTGTGCCACACACCCATCCACATGGCCTTTTTACTAAAAACTGACGACGTCTCCATACGTATACATACGTCATCGGAATGGGAAAGGATTAATCAGGGCCCCCAGAGGTTCCTCGAGCCCCAGGGCAAAATGTCGCATAGGGCCCCTGATTCTACCATCCACAGGCACGTTGTGGGGCAAACTTTTGTGAGGCCCGGGCCAAATTTCCTCTTTTGCCTCTACACCCTCCTTCTTCCTCTGAGTGGCCCTGATCTTCATAACAGCCACGAGCAAAGTTGATTTGTATCGTAATCACAGAGCACCTTTGGCAGGGCGGCATTCGCTGAGGTCATCTGCGTGGTGACGGTGAGGATGGTGGTGATCCCCAGGCCCACGCGAGCCGGCGCGGCTTCCACGTTGAGCCAGAACGAGAGCCAGGAGATAATGACCAGGAGGCAGCTGGGTATGTAGACCTGGATGAGGTAGTAGCCCATGTCACGGTCCAGGAAAAACGTGGCCTTGACGCATGAGAATGTACCTGTAAGAAATCAGTTGGCATCATCATTATCGGCATCTTTACATTGATCTCACCATCGACAATTTATAATTATAAGCAAAAGGAAAAATTCACAATGTATTTCTTGCTCAAACATGTATGTGGAGGGATTAATATGCTCTTTAAAGTCCTCAAGCAGCGGTGGAAATTTCGATTGTGCTCGGGAAATGTCGGCAAAGCTCACAAATACACAACATAAATCATTACTTATTTTTGGGTTAGGCCGTGCAAACGATCCAACCAAATTCGTGTGGTTAAGGTCCAACACAACAACCAAACACAAACAATTTCCACCTAGAGCACAAGCGTTTAGGAGTGCGCCGATTATCATCGTTTCAGCTCACTGGGAAGTTGAAAAACAATTCTCACAACCAATTTAATCAATTAGATATGCAACATTTCGTTTTACTTTGCGACAAACATCATCAGGACATGACCCAGGAAGTCATACTCCCTGGATCATGTGCTGCATCTCCATCTGTCTCTCTCAATAAAGAGAAACATGGAGAATTTTTTTAAATTAAATTTTGCCAAAATAGGTGGGAAAACAAAATAAAATATGGCTCAATATTATCTGTGAAAACCTAAGGGTTAAGTTACATGAGATAAAGTGACAGCCTCACTAACACTGCAGTGACTAGGGGCATGGACATATGATGTCTGTGTATTTTGGCTTAAATAACCTGGGGGGGGGGCAAGGGGGTTGGGAAGGTGGGTGTGGGGACCCGTGGTCTTGACGGTCCTGATGCCATCAATGTTGAGTACCACTGGGTTAAAAGCAAACGACGCGACGTTCATCCCCGTGCACGTTTGTCGTGTTGAGCCGGACGAACTGCTTCCTACTCACCGTACGTGTACTCCTTCGTGCATTCACCGAGGAACGTTTCGTTGGAGAGTGTGAATTTCGGGGTTGAAACGCCAGCTCCGAAACTCACGGGCTCCGTGTCATTCCACTGGAATATCAGGTCATTCGTCGTATATCCATCTGAAAGTGCACAATGAAAGTTACGTTTTTTTTTAAACCGGATTTCATCGTAAAAGGGGGCGATGATGCTACGTATATTCCAACGGTGTCATTTCGAGGTTATTTTCCACAAGTCTGACAATGACGCCGGCGCACAACGGTCTCCTCTTACGAATGGCATCACGGAACCTTTAACGTCCACCGTGAAGCAGACGGAGTGTATTTATTTAATACGCAGAATTAAACAGGACGGCTGCTCTGTAATCTAACTTCCGCAACGAGCGGCTACCGCTGAGTCACGCCACCGACGATAGCCACAAACAACACGAGGGCACAGCCCAGGATGAGGAAACTGGGGCCCAGCAATGAATCCCAGGGCAGCCCCTCGCCAGAGGCAGCCAAAGCATCACACACAAGCGGAGTGTAACGTTTCGTGAGGGCGTGGAGCCGTGCCTTTAGATAAATATTAGATTCCTTTATGTTTACCAATAATTCCAATTATGCTATCGGTTTCATGTCATGAGACAAGGACATTTTATTGGGACCTCTGCAGCGAGCCAAGCAACGATGTGTCAGAGAAAGTGCCTGAAAGCGATACCGCAGTCACTTCGTGAGACGTTTGGCATCCACACTTGGTACACGTGGTCTGTGTAGGTTATTTGTCACAAGCTTGGGATAGGCCGAGCTGGATTAGGCCAAATTGGAAGAGGCCAGATTAGGCGACAAACCAAAGATCATGTTACGGTGTTTTTGTGTGCACTAGTCGAAAACTGGATCAGGACTTTCAACTCCCTACACCTGAGAACCCAGTTTAATGCAGGTGCCACTTCATCGCTCTGGGCCACGCAGCCACCTCCAATGTATGTTTATTTTAATCACATATTATTCATAAAACGTTTGCAATTTTTAAGCAATTTGATCCCAATTGCACCATTGCCATCGCGTCAGGTGATGCTGAAACCATTAGGGATCTCTGGCAGAGCAGTGCGATGCTTTGTGTGAAGAGAGGGAGACCGGATATCACAGAGCTACCTCTGAGGTCCCTTCAAGTGTACTCTGGTCCACACAGTAGATAGAGGGCAGTATTTTTCCATCCACCCTGCATACGAGAGGAACTTTCATCGTATGACAGTGAAACCGATATCTACATTTCAGAGCTGGAATTTAGATAATTTAGTTGCATTGGCTAATTTGCCTAAACTCGTTACACCTGAGAACCCACTTTGAATCATGACTTGGCGACTAAAACCTGGATTGGAACCCAGGATCTCAGCGGCGCCAGCCAGCCACCTGCTATGCGATGATATACTGTTTAATGTGCTTTCACTCACAACTCTCAAGATAGATGCTGCAATATTGTGCATCCATGGGATAAACCTCCAGACTCATGGGGCACGCAAGTACGAGAGACAGTCTGAAACACAGAAAACATGTTATCCACACGGCAAACGTATATATTTTTAATTGAATAAACATAGATATATACGACAGTTATCCACTTAGTATATCGATGCAATGAATATAGTGTATTTCTTGGGCAAAATTAGCATAATTTCCCTCTTTACACCTTTGTGGTGGTGCTTTTGCCTCGGGTGGAAGGTTAATGACCGTTATTTTATGAGTGTGCATGGCCACTATAGCACACTCCGACCACGTGGTTCAGAGGTAGAGCAAGTGGCTTGCAAGCGGAAGGTTCCGAATTCAAATCCCGGGTTGATAAACTCATCAGAGAGATGAACCGAAACAAAGCCAGGACACGAAAATTAAATTAACCGGTTATTTATCTGAATTTAAATCGACAACAGAAGCAAACTTGCATTTGGTGCTCCAGGATAACGCTCCCATAAATTAATTTGGCTCCATATTTTAACTGGTTCAATAAATGGTTGGGGTTTTAAAAGTGAAATTTGGCCTTGCTCACTTAGCCAATTGCACTGTCATCTCACGAGAGGGCATCGCCACCGTGGTAGCTCAGAGGTAGAGCGGCCGGCTCTTAACTGGAAAGGTCTGAGTTCAAATTCGGCATTGAAGTTTGACTCAGTCCCACCAGGATTTGAATTCGCAACCTTCCAATTGCGAGCCGCTGGCCGTACCGCTGAGCCACCAGGCCGGTTACCAGCAGATACATTCTGCAGATTGTTGGAATACATCCCCCCCCCTTATTTGCCAGATGCCAAAAACCTCAGTCTTTCCCTCCCAGAGAGTTCACCTCACGGAGTAGAACACGTCCCCATTTCTGAACACTCTCAGCATCTTGTTGTCCGTGGTGACGGTGTGGAAGGCTGCACTCTTCTCGTTTTCAAAGAAGAGGTCAGGTTTCCACACGGAGTCAACAAAACTGTTCCCAAGATCCAAGAAGTCAGTGTTGTATTCTATGCTCTTCAAGACGCTCAGGATGCGCGGGTCGTTCCAGGTCTGACGCAGGAAAATGTTGATGCTGTAATCCTAGGGAATAATAAGGCCACCGTTATTTTATTAAAGACGTTCGTCATTAGCAATGTTTGAATTACCATCACCACGTTCACCATCACCACCCACTGGACACCACATACCTGTAAACCCCTTATCAGTGTCTACTTTATTACAGACCAATTAAAACTTTATTGGTCACCCCGTACCCTTATAAATCTCAACGTTCATCTTACAAAGTCCCATCACAAGGGAGAAATACAAACAAAAAGAAAAAAAACTAAAGCCAAATGTTGCCCTTATTGAAACGGCTATACGCCATATGGACCTGAAAACTCAATTTCCCTATACAAAAATACGGGAAAACCGTATGGGTTGACAGGTATGTATATATATAATCTCGTTGATCATACATAATAACAACACCACCACGGTGGCTAAAGGGTGCGTCGACCCCACGGCGTTGTGGTTCATATTCCAGCGTCGCTGGGGAACGGCGCGCGTTCAAAGAAACGAACGCATACATGGAGTTACAGCAACGTCCATTGAGATCGAAACGCCATCATGGCCAAGGGCATCATCATAGCCACTGCTCGTCGAAGCCACCATCGCTACCCCCCCCCCACCACCACACCGGATCCCGCTTCACAGTAGGAGATGCGCAACCAACATAAGATCCCACCGAGTCCAGATCGCGAAAAAATATTGCGGAGTTTGTGTACGTTGCGAATGTTTGTGACGTCATACGTCACGTGAAGGAACGTCACCGCCTCCAGACTCACCATGGTCGCCTCTTCGACGGGTCCAAAGCCCTTCACCAGAATGCTGCAGTTTACGACAACGGGAGGCCCTACCATTCAAACAGAAAACAAAAAACGAATTCATAACCAGGCGCACACATTCACAGGGTGCTTCAAAAATATATTTAAACTGTTTATGGGACTATCGTTTTTCATGGAAAAAAGAACGGATATCATCACACTGTAACATGATAATAAATGCATGTTAATAGCTTCAAAAAGTCAGTCACCATTTGTTCGCCATCATTGTCAACACGTGCCTGGAATCTTCTCCAGATGGTCTCCAAGGGTTCCCGCGCTAAATGCGTTCAAGCTATCAATTCCGGTCCAGCGGTTCTGCACTTGCTCTATTACTATAGTACTATACCGCCTTCTACTTTAATGAACGACTGGGTGTTTAAGGTTAGCGATTTGTCGTATGATCTGGCTGTATAGCACATGAAAAAATGCAATTACTTTACTATGAAAGTAACAAAAAAATGTGTTTTAATATTAATGTTTTGTTTTTAATTTAGGGCCCCTCTATAACATATGGCTACAGGCCCTGCACGAGCTTCATCCGGCGGCACTCGGGAGGCCGGCCGCTCTCTCTCTCTCACCGTCCACGTTGGGCCGCATGCGGCTGTCGTAGCCCGTGTCGCGGATAACGTTGTCCATGGACAGGAAGGGCGACGGTTTGTTGTTGTTGCTCGAGTTCCCAGGCGCCTGGGCCGAGAGGCTGGAGACTCGGAAGAGACGCGATCACGCTGTTACACAGCCGCCGCCGCCGCCGCGAACTTCTCGACCACCGTATAAAGCCTTAACATACTGTTGGGGCAAGTGCTGTTAGCGAGCACCTGTGAAGGCACCTGTGAAGGCACCTGTGAAGGCCGGCACGGCACACGAGGGAGTGGGTGGCCAAAACTACGCCCTGCCGCCTTTGTCTCCCCAGTGGCGATGTTAACACACCGCACCAGGTACTCATTTGAGGCTGAGTCGACCTAGGGGATGACCAGGACCGGTTCAAATAATTAATCGTCACTGGGTGTTGGTGGCCGTGAGCGGGAATCGAACCCGAGTCGCCAGGTTCGTAGCGCAGCGCGCTAACTGCAACACCACCGCTCCCCCCACACACACACGGGTTAGAACCGGTGGTACTCAACCTTGCTGGACCCGCTCAACCCACTGTCAACGCTCACACAGTGATCACACTCTCGGAGTAAGCATGCACGCTCCAATAAGATTTTTCCAAATGAACACTACGTTTTCCAAAGGGCTGTAAAAAAACAAGATCAATAAAAATCCGTACAATTTTTTTATATATACATTAACTTGTGTTTCTAAGACTTACAATAAAGAGTTGTGCAATGGACAGGGATATTGTCGTGTTTTGTGTAGCAGCAGCAACAACACAAAACTGTTGTATCTACAAAAGTTGAGCGCACCACGTCTCGCGCACGGCCCTGTGGCCGAGCAATGGCCCGCGGAATTAGACGTTGAGATCTACTGCAGAAGACAACTCTTGAGACACGAGGCCACCTCGCAGGGCTGCGACGTCTCCAAACTCCTCGCATCCACTCCTTCCTATACTCAACTTGCAATGGCAAGCCTGTATCTGCTGACGAGACACTGAATGCGTTAAACCAATGCTGCTGAAGACAATGCATTCCCAGGAGGCCGTGTGGCCGATGGGATGTTCCAAGTATCAAGAGTGTTATGTACTTTTGAACGTGGAGACACAAATACGGGAACGAGGCGAATGTTCTGATTATTTATTTTGGTTGTATTAAATGGCATCACATGCCCTGCGGTGTTCCACTCACGGGATTCAGAGCCAATTTTAACGTATTTTTCCTCCAATTGTATCATTGCACACAGTTTGTTGTTGTCACGAAGGGTACGTCACGTTATCACTAATGCCACTTTTCATAACAAGAGAAACTACAATTTGTGGCCCATTCTGGTGACTTGTAGTCATTATGACAGACATAAACTAAACATTTTTTTTATTTCATCAGGTAAGGCCCACTGAGCTGTATAGCTATTTTTTTCAGAAGCGACTTGGCCATAAATGATAGCTCAACGAAGTGCCTCACCATGTAGAAATGTATTTCAGCGAAATACTTTAAACGCACGTTTCTAAATTGGGAGGAAAACACCGGAGGACCCGGAGAAAAATCCACGCGACCACGGGGAGAGAGAGAGAGAGACATTCAAACTACAAATATACCTCGCGTCCGGATCGAGATCGAACCCTGCTTACCAGGCGAGGTAGTTAACATCTCGTCACCGAAGTGATGTCTCAGATGGGGTTTGCTCTCCATTCACCCGAGCATTCCAACTTAACGCACTTTTTTCCCGCCAATTTAGACAATTCTAGATTTAATACACGTTTAAAAACGTGTAGTAATAACGATGTCTTGATGACCAACACTACAGGCCTATGTAGCCCTTTCGCGATTGTGCCGTATGGCTCTGTGATGCGTTTTCGGGTTGACACGCGTGTTTCTCGGGATGATGTCCGACGTTTGAATTAGGTTCCTGGAGAAGGTCCAATGCGGCACGGTGGAGCAGAATGTAAAGTTCCTCAAGATTCTTCTGAGCACATTGAGCGAAACGTCTGATATCGTGCCCAAAAATACGCAATACAACCCAAAAACACATCATAAAACAAGTCAAAAGGCAGTGATTTCCTGGATAAAAAATGACCATTAAAGCAATGCCCATATCCTATCAACAGCCCTGAATCGGTGCTCAACATTCCACAGTCATATGGCAGGGGCGAGGCTATCTATAGAACAACCAGTACATACCATCATTGTGCGAGAAACGGTCTAGTATGGGTGTGGTAATGGGAATACGACGACGCAGTGTGGTTTCTATCGTTGTTGTTGTTATATTCTTTGGTTCTTTCGGTAAAGTCACGTAGATAGAAACATTATTTTTTATTATATTTTCATCACTTTCTTTTTTATTATAATTTTTCTATCTACGTGACTTTACCGCAAGAACCAAAGAATATGAATTCCTGCAGTCACGAAAGTTTTAAGTCAGTCGTTGTTGTTGTTGTTGTTGTTCTGTTACCTAAAGAGAGAGATGAACCACGCCGAGACGCACAGCACGGCCACGCCAGACATCCTCCTCGCCGCCTCCAAGCCCTCGTCAGCGCGACGCGACCGGCGCCACGAGTTAATATAGCCGCGACCTCTGAAACCCCATGGGCTCAGCTCAGTCCACACCCATCTCCGCCCGTCGCGGTTCGAGCTCCGGGGCCGCCCGGGTTAACACCGCTGGTGTTTAACCAGCAACTTGACCCGCCGTCTGCTTCACAGTGGACCTTAACGATCCAGTGGCGTCGTTAGAAATAGAGCAGCGGGCCATTGCGTGCAGGGGTCACGGTCCGAATCTGTCAAATTTGAAAAATTACCTGAACATTACTCGATATGAGATTTGCGCATAGCAACATCGCCCCCTACTGATACAAGTTTCAAGTTTACGTATTAGGTATAGCCCTGTGAGCCATTCGGCTCTTAAATCGGGTGCAACCGCAACAAACAAAAAACAAAAACATGAACAAGAAAACATCTTAAAGTGACTATGTGATTATGTATGTGCAAACTGAAAATCCAGACCGTGTATTTGAAAAGACAGTAGTGCCTTCCTTCGTGATAAAAGCCCTGCGCTAGGAGCGTGATAGCGTGAGCACTTATGGTTTCATTTCAGCTCTAGCTGTCAGCGAGAGACAAGGCGACTCGGAATTGTAATCAGTGCTTGATGTCAGCTGGAATAGTCCAGAACAGTCCAGATCTCTGTACCGGAAGTGACTTTGACATGAAATATCCATCTCGCCTTTTTCTGTCCTCATGCTACTTACAAACCTGCTCGTATGATTGTAAGAATCCAGGACTTAATAATATTCCAGCAGCTGTGTATAATTATGGGCGAATATGGTTATTATTGATAGGCGTATATTGCACTCAAGTGGTCGTGCCTTCCACCAATGATCTCTGGTCCGAGTCAGATTAACAGCATTCTGGAAAATATGGAGTGATAAAAAGAACAACCAGCGAGTGTGATGCCTCGCGTGATGCGACGTCGCCAAGCCTGGAGGATTCACTTAAACTCTCATCCGTCAATAACATGGTGTGGCGCTCAAAGAGAAAATATGAAATAGGTGACGTTTCAGGAAATTAACTTATGAAAGAATTTGCGAAATGTTCATCGTGACGAAATCTAACGAAAGTTTGTGTTTACTAAATCCAAGACAGAAAAAAGCACGCACACGCATGGATTCTGTAACGTTTCTCATACATACGACATAGCAGATAGCGTGCATTCATTGCAACAAAAATACTCGGGAAGACAATCACATGTTGGAAAACGTTACAAAATACACGCATGTGCAAGATATTTAGGTTGACTTTAATAAAGATGTAATTGTGCCGCGTATCCTGTTGTCCACTTTCGATATTGGATCAGTGGACATATCGCAGATTGCCTTTCAGCGTCAATTGTTGGCGAGACTATTTGCACTTGATAAGTGCGACCTTGGTAATGGGGCCCAATGTGAGCGGTGAAAAGAGCAGCTGCCACAAAACAAACGAGGGGCGTGCGTCGTGTCGGAAGCGAGCACGTGTCAGCAGCAGCATCTGCAGCACCTGCTGCCCGTTAGTGTTTGCGTCGGGCTTAAGAGAGGCGCTATGTTGTTATTATCGTCCACTTTCGAGTGCTCACCCTGGCCAGAGGCAGTTATTGAAGGCGTGCTGATAGACAGACGCAATTAAACATCCAACTACGGGCATAATGCAAGCTTCGCCCGAGCGCACTACACACACACGCACACACCACTCTGGACACCAGATACGTTGGGATATTTTATTTTTCAAAATACGGTGTAGATGACATTTGCAGTAATGTGTTGTTCTTAATAAACGTGTACTTAAACACATCATTCGAGCCTGTGGTGTGTGCGTGGACTATTACACATTACTCGCAGTCTCCTTCACAGTGGACGGTTACAGAACCCGCGCCGTCATTAAAAAAATGACGAATTTCACCGCAAATCACTTGACTTTGACAAACCAGCGCATTGCAACATCCGATCCATCCCGCGACAACAAGGCAGGACCCTCCTGAACGAGTCTCGAGAGTGAGGCTTTACGGGGCAAGTGAGTGTACAATAACGAAAACGTTTACCGCCGCGCAGAAAGCCCACCCAGCTCACGGGCTGGGCAGAAGTGGCTCGGACTTGAACGACACGGGGGGGGAGGGGGCATTACAGGGTGGCCACACGCGGCTCGTGTGGCCAAACCACGGAGACGGCCACGTCCCGACATCTTCCCCGACGAGGCCACTCGCAGAGTCGTGAGTCATGCGCGTGTCCTACAACGAAACCGCGAGCGAAGGGAATGGGTACAAATAAGAGCAAGCATGTTCTTGGTTCTTTCGGTAAAGTCACGTAGAAGGGAAATAATAAAATAATAAAAATATATAAAATAATAAAATAAAATAATAAAAATATTTTACTTTATTATTTCCCTTCTCCGTGACTTTACCGAAAGAACTAAGAATATGAATCCCTGCAGTCACGAAAGCTTTAAATCTAAATTTAAGAGCAAGGATGTTCAACACGGAGGTTTTCACAAATCTGGCTGTCGCCTGATGAAGCTAGTTGTAATTACTGGCGAAACGACGTACTCAGATTGTAAATGTTGTGGCTTGGCTCTCCTGTACTAGTGACGAATTGGCACGTTCTCTTTACGTGACAAACCTTACTAATTGGCTGTGTCGGGTGGCGGCGGGTTTCACGACACGTTTATATATTTACTCGATCTAACCCAAAAAATAAGAACTGTATAATGAAAGAGCACGGGTGTGTCCACGAATCTGGTGGCCATGCTGCTGAACGTGGCCTTTGATCCTGCGCCTTTGAGGGAAGGGGAAAGGGGTTACTCTTTGGTTCTTTCAGTAAAGTCACGTAGAAAGAAAATACATTAAATGAATTAAATAATAGAATGCATTATTATTATGATATTCTGTTATTATTTACATTTATTTTCTTTCCACGTGACTTTACCGAAATAACCAAAGAGTAATTCCTGCAGTCATGAAAGCTTCGAATCGGGAAAGGGGTTGTTGGATCACACGGAGTCGTCACCATCCGAGTTTGCCAGGGTATGGAAGTACAGCAATTGTATTAATTTCCATCTGTATTCCATCTGTGCAGTAGATTGAGCGTTACCCCCCGCTCGCACACGTACGTTTTCTCAGCGTACTCCGCTTTTTTTCCACGCTTACAAACACTGTTTAATGGAGTTATCCAAACACCCCCAATATAGGAACACAGAACCGTAGGCAATTGTTGGCATCCGTTCTCGCTGCCATCGCGCGCGTCTGTAGTTACTCGTGCCTCTGTGCGTGACAATTTCCACAGCGTTTTGAGATGCAATCTTCATGATAACGCTCTGTAAACCAAGAAATGTATTATGACTTAAAGTGGAAACAATCTATTTGAGATGGCAGAACTAAAACATGGAAGAAGGTTACTTTAAAATGTTAAGCATACCATGTCTTGTTAGGTGACAGAATACCCTCGTGTATATATGAACGCCCTCAAGTACGTACATCAGGTGAGTGAAAACACGTGTCATCCGCACGTGTTATCCGGTCACCCGACACACACGGCCCATTAGGTCCGCGGTAATCAAATGTGATAGCAGCACACCAAAGTAAATGTTGCAGGGGTTCCATGTTACGGTCATTAATCACTTTAATTACATGAAAAACATATAATGTTACACAACAAATACAGACAGTACGTCTCCTTCCCATATGTCTCTCTACAAAAAAAATGTTTTATCTTTTAATACCAATCGGCCACACGACCTTCTGGAAGTGAACTTTGGGCCAATGTAATAATTCATCATCGTGTGAACTTGTATTGCACACAGTATTCGCTCCCTCTCGGAGAGAGAACGATTCAAAAGAGCGAGGAGGAACCACAGACAAACGGTAAGGCAGTCAGGCAATGGACTGGCGCAAACACTTGTCCACGCTCTGCGGTCCTCTATATATGTGTAGTGACACAGCGCCGACTGCTGTCCAGCAGCGGCAACTGCGGTGGACAGTTAGCGCACACGCCGTCGAGCATATACACGGGTGGGCCGGCAGGGCGAAAGAACTGGGGTAAGGGTTACAGAAGACCTCATCGGGAAGCCCCTGGAACCCTCTATTCGGTTCGAGAAGGAAGGCGCGGCCAGGGCGGAGCCAGGCCACGCCGAGTAGGATAAAAGCAATGGAGAGTGAGAGCTCCGGACTGGCGGTTCTAGGAGTGGACTCGTCTCGCTGTCCTCTTTGCCGCTTTCGTCGCTGCTGCCTTCGCCCGATAATTGCGTGGCCGGACAGTTGTTGGCTGTGTCGGTCAACGCCGTTGGTGTAACGCGGTCATGTTTTCAGCAAAATGATATGATATATGTAGGGGGGGGGGGCGGGGAAACCAGAGCACCCGGAGAAAATGAACGTGTGCAAGGGGGCAACACTCATACATAAGGGACAGGTGACATTCGTCCAGAATTTGTTGAGCCGTTTTCTCCTGGCCAAGTCAGAATACGGGGCACCTCGACGCCCACGGGAAAGGAGTTTCGCATCATTTGCGTGATCCACCAACCCTCACTGCCTCCACAGTGCTGGGTTACTGACGTGAATAACCGCCACCGGGGGCGGTCGTGGTGGTGCACGTGTCCTTGGATATAAACGTCTGGAAGTTCACCAGCATTGGTATGAGAAAGCCCGAATGTCGAAACCGTTTGCTTGTGTTGAACCATAACTGCAGAGAACAAAATCACTCCCAGACACGGCGTGGGTTCTATAAATGAACACTCGCACGTTTTACGTGGAGACACAACCTTGGCAAAGACATCGCGTCGCCACTCTGCTGAGTTGATCACTTCACGTCGGGGTCCGTGGCTCTTTCGCGCTACGTTGCGCCTTGCGTTTTGACCGCGTGGATTCACAATCACGGCGCGCGGTTCGTCTGATTCATTAACCAAATAACGACAGAAGCGTCCGTGCCTTTTGCGGTACTAAGCGTCGCTCTCTACACAGTTGTTGCTTTCTTTCTCTCTCGGCTACAAACGGCACCGCGCGTTGAAGCCC